CTCTCCCCCCGCCCGACTTTTGCAGTTCCGCCGGCCCATCTTCTCCCTGCAACAGCTGCACCACCTGTACCCATAACATGCCACAGTATGTATAACCGTTCTTTGATTAGACTCTTTAGCAAAACAACACCAGCTAGATTTCTACTATAGAGAATGGTCAGGAACAGCAGTTAGTGAAATGCTCTAACTAATCCCCTTGGTTTGCAAGGGTTGTTTCTTGGAATGATCATCTGAAAACAAACCAAGAAAAGAAGCTTCCTTTGTCTGGACATCCATCCAGTTGAGTTCCTAGTAGTGAATGGGAACGGTGAAAACACAAAGTGTCGGTGCTTTTGGAAAGGACAAGAAGACGGGTCTGGAGATATTGTTGTTGAAATTGAACTTCCTGGCCACATATTGCAGATTCTATTGCTGACGCTCTTGTGGTCCATAATAGCAGTTAAACCGTTTAACTCTATTACCAACTCCTCTGGAAGTTTGCATAAAGGCACGTGCTTTTATGTGCCCGCAGTAATTCTTGCTAAAACTCACTCGGGTTCTTTTATTTGTTTTAGCATTCAGGTCAATGGGATAAAATGTAAAGATCGGAAAGAGAGAAGATACCCGGGTCATGTTTGGACGCATTGTGGCTATATGATGTATGCATATTGACGCCGTTAACATCACCCGTTTCATCTCCATGGAGTCAAAGTTATCTCCTAGCCGAGTATCCACTATTTCCCTCACACTGTTCTTCTCCAGAAGAGGTTTGGCCTGTTTTACCATACCCACAACAAATGAATTGATTATGGTAGCATACCATGACCGTTGATGATGGATCAGTAACATAAATGTTTTTGCTTTTGCATGGAGAATAGGGAGAGAATTCAGATCATACCCATATCACGAGGCTTTGCCTGCTTGCTGTATCGACAGCACGCCGACCAGTTATGATCTCCAGAAGCAGCACCCCAAACGCAAACACGTCGGTTTTCTCATCAACAATGCCGTGCATGAAATATTCTGGAGCCAGATACCTGGAGAATCCCGGGATTTTAGATTATTCAGAGGATAAAACTCAAAAGAGAAACTTTCAAAAACCCAGGGTTGTTCTGTCTGACCCGAACGTGCCCTCGATGGGGAATACAACATGATGAGGCCAGTTTTCCGGCAACCACTTGGCCAGTCCGAAATCAGAAATCTGAAACCACCAATCATCAAAAGAGGGCATGTACTGTGAGTTTCGATCCAAACCATCCGAGAAAGCAAAGGAACATGGCTGGAAAAAAACATACCTGAGCTTCATAATCTCGGGTGAGCAATATATTAGAAGCTTTGATGTCACGGTGAATAATCCGTCGGGGACATTCATGATGAAGATAACTCAGACCATCAGCTATTCCAATAGCCACCTTATACCTTATCTTCCATTCAAGACTCTCGCCAGACCCTACAAGGACCAAAGTCGGAAACCCTCATCTAAAAAACCCACATTTTTTGTTGCATCAAACTGTGATTCACAGGCAGAGGCATGTATATACCGAAGAGCCAAGAAGCGAGACTGCCATGGGGAGAGTATTCGAGGACGAAATGTAAACCACGATCGGTGCTGAAACCACGAAGGTGAGCTGCGTTTGGGTGGTTGACGTGCGCGATTATTCCAAGCTCCGACAAGAAATTGCTTACTTTCTCTTCTTCCACCTTGGCATTGCTCTTCAGCTTCTTTATCGCCACTATCTCCCCGTCCGGCAACGTTCCCTTGTACACTTCTGCGTGGCCTCCCTTCCCGATCATGTTCTCTGCCCATTTGTTTTTTTTTTTTTTTACATGAACAACTCACAGATCACAAAAGAATGCTTGATTCCGACATGCCCATTTAAGGATATTAAGGGATGAATACGTAAAGATCGTTACTTTGCAAGATTTCTCGATTTCTATTTTCACTGAGATCAATTCTAAGATTCCGCATATGAATATGACTAAAATCTAGGATTTTGTTGTGTGAATTATCTGCAAAATCGTCTTTCGAGCCGTTTTCCCCCGTCCAAAAATTGCAAGGCGCACACGGCGTCGATAACGTGGATGAAAATCTCAGGGGTAGTTTCGTCATTTCAGCAGTTCGTTTTACGAATATCCTGTGTTTTTGGGAATTTGTAAAATTACCGGGATTGAAATCGTCGGTGGCGGCGGCGAGCTCGTCGTAGGAGAAGTTGCGCCAGGAGGGCTTGGCTACGAGGAAGTGGTCGCAGCTGACGTTGTAATCAGACGGAGGGTCCTTCGGTAGCTTCTTCCGGAAGTTTTTCCTGGAAAGCTCGTAGCTTGCGAGCAGGGGAATGACTGAGAATCGCCTCATTGATTTCTTCTTGATGTTCTCGATCATTTTGTTCCATTGAAGGCCGTGATGCTGAATCGCTGAAACGCCTCTCGGAGTCGACGCGGATGAGGATGATTTGTCGGGGGAGCACGAGCTGCAACTGCTGCTGTTGTCGGAATCTGAACCCAGAACGGGGATTTCGAGCACGCATCTCGGCGATGGATCATCGAGTCCTAACTCGTTCCTCTTCAGTTCTACCTCTGGTTTTTCCCGGCTTCCTTTGTCGTGAATCTCCTTCTCTGCAGATAGAAAAATAAAACCAAGCAAAAAAAGGGATGGTTGAGAAATGAGCCTTGTATCTGCATGCCCGTAACTTGTTCGTTTAAATTCCTCAAAGAGGCATTTTAAACGAAGAATTCCTGTTTTGGATGCAACCCATGAAAGAAATTCAGCGGAAGACAGAGGAAATTGGTCGAAAAGCAATGATTGTTTCCCTTTTTTCCTGGGCAATGAACGCTTATATGGCATGTCTTTGTCTTTCTAAAGCAAAATTGAAACGAACGATACAGCATTTTGTTCTGAAAGTACATTACAAAAGCTTCAAACTTTCGCCCTACCTTCAACAGCCATATCCCCCAAATTTCTTTTCTTCTGGGGTTCAACCAAAAAGATAAGCTTCGAATTAAACCCGACGCTTCATAAAAATCTCCCCAGAGAGAAGAAAGAAACAACAAGAATGGATTTTGAAATCCAGGGCCATAAAGAATCGCCAGAGAGAGAGAGAGAGAACAGAACAGAGATTTTTGGTTCTAGAGAGAAAAAAAAATGTTTTTTTTCCCCTTGTTAGAGTGTATCTTTAGAAAATGGTTATTCTTGGAAGAAGCAGAAGGCAAGCCTTGCAAAAACCAGCGTGGTGATGGATTGGAATCTCTGCTATATTTATACAACTTCACCATGCAAATATATATGTATTTTTTTTTAAAAAAAAACATATTTTGAAATTTTCACAACTCTCAAATTAAAATATATGGATGGAATTAAGAATTATATATTTTTAAAGGAAGATGAAGAGATAAGAGTAAGCCGAAGAAATTTCCGCCGTCCGATTTTAAAGGGGAGGGAGGGAGAGAGATTGCTGCCGTAACCAACGGTTCCACCGAAGGGACACGACGGATGTAATATCCAGAGCTGGTCCGTGGGCATTATCGTCATTCCACTGCTGTATGTATTGTCTACCTTTGCTTGTAATGACTATGACATCCCATTGCCATACAATTTTTTTTAGATTACATATATTTCACTCAAATTAATTTCTCCCTGGAATTAGCTTAGTTTTGCCATCAATATCCCATGTGAAATTCTGACATTTTTTTAATTATAAAAATATCAAACAATTCAATAATGTTCTCTTTTGGACACAACAAAAGTTATCTTGTAATTACTTCTTCAATAGTTAAATTTAAATAAAATTTTACTTCATATTAGAAAAACGCAAATGCTTTTTTCTCTCCATTCCTTTTTTTAATACCGAGTTAATTTTCCATAAATACCAATTTATTTACTTAGGTTAGTTTTGAAGATCTATGTAAAAAACAATTTAACTGAAGTGGAGTATTTAAATTTCATTTTTCACTGGGGGAAAAAGATAGATAACAAAATTATGTTGCTAAATATGTTTTTATTTTGATTTATTTGTGTTAAAAATCAAAATTTCCGAGATAGAAAAGGCAGATATTGGACTTCGAGTTGCCAAATCTTGGTTAGAAAGAGTGAGGCTGCTGAAACATGGCAGATAACTTAGAGCGTCACCAAGCCTGCATTTTTTATTGTTTTTAATTTCATTATATATATATATATATATGTATATATATATATATATATAATTGAATAATCACATTGTATTCGCTTAATTTCCTTCAAGGGAAAAAAATGTGTTTCATTTTGCATGGCTAGTTTATCCGTCGGCAAGCATTCCAAGTTATGGTCACTTGCAGTAGATTGAAAACGGTTCATAATTTCATGTTACCGCTTAAACCAATTTCAATTCATGAATTCTCAATATTTCTCGTAAATCATATATCAAAATACTCGTATGAACCATTTTTTATGTACCAAAAACAAACAAATTGGACTTTTGATATCCAAATAATTTAATTGGTTAGATTAAACTGAACCATACATATATTCCAAATCATATAACTGTTTTCCAATCTCTGAATTAGTTTGGATTTGGTCCAAAATATCCTATCATCAACAAATAAAAAAAGTTGAACCATGCGAAATAGTGGCACGGCGAGTAATTGTTTTGGTAAATGACACGACAAATCGCAATAAATGAATCAGAAACTCAATAACACCTCTTTGCATTGTCTCATCACATCCAAACCCACGTCAGGTCCGACCATACGGGATCCACAACTTTATATATATATATATATATTGGAATATGTCGATTTTAAATTATTTAGAAACAATAAAATGACGAATATGGATTAAGTGTGCTTGAATCGTTTTTTTTTTAATTAAATTACTAAGGCAGCTTCACTAGGAATAATATTTCTTACAGCCGAGGAAGTTGGAGCCACCGATGAGAGTACACTCTCTTACACCTCCCTTGATAATGGTATGTGGTTACTTTTTTAGCCTCGTGTTTAATTTCATCGTTTATTCTTTATTTCTTTATTGTTGTATTCCATGTTCTGTTTCTCAAATTTAAATTTAGCTTATAAAAAAAACCCAATAAAAGGCTTAAACCTTGCTATGTTTTTTATATAGGGATAAATCAACGTAAATTTTATACCGAAAGTGGATATTCAATTAAATAAACTGAGACAATTCATTGAAGATAAATTAAATATATATATATATATATATAATTTGTGTGGCAGTAAAATAAGGAAGAGAAAGCGTAGTTTAGTGTGTTTTTTTTTTTAATTGGGGGCTTAGTGAATTAGAACTCCGAGTAAGAAATGTTATTGTTGAGTGGGTGAACTAAACCCGTTAACCAGATAGAGATGCATGTGTGTGCGTATATATATACATATATGTATATGTATATGTATATAATGAAAGATATTGTCCTGAAAGATCCAAAAGGCCACCAAACTCACCAACGTCAAGTTCAGTTAGAGAAGTCTGTTTAACTGATTTGTCTGCCACAAACAATCATGTGATGCGATGCGATGATGTTGTACATGACATGGCATCGATTATCATCTACATAGTCTTTGCTACGATTCATGGAACAAAATATTTAATGATTTGTATAAAAATAAATCAAGTTTGGTTCGTTGAGATTCAATGGCGGGGCAACCACCTCCAAGACAGGAAAGTCATGTCATGCAACTTCGGTTAGTTATGCAACTGTTAATATTTTATATATTTATCTACTTCTTCTAAACAAACGAAAATATAAAAAATAAATAAATGGATTTTTCATTTTTCACAAAATTAAACCTAAGTTTTTTATTAAATAAAATCTCAACATTCTTAAATTATAAATAAATCTAAATTTTATAACAGTTATTATTTTTAAACATATTATTAATGTGATGTAATAATATCAAGACATGTGGATGATGATAAGTCAAACATGATGATAGTGTTGATTTGTCATACATGATATCGGTCATCACGGCAGAATTGATGTTTAAAAATGCTAGAGATTGTAAAATTCTGATTTATTTTTTATTGAAAAATAAAACTAGAGTTTTATTTGATAAAAAAAAAATTAAAATTTAGGTTTTATTTTATAAAAATTGACAAATTTAGATATGTTTTTGTAATTTTCCCTTTAAACAATGAGTCATTTATATATATGGAAAACTTTTAAATATCAGGACAAAATTTATGGAAAAAATAAGGATTTAGAGCATTATGATGATTTGTAAATGATCAAAATTGAATCTTTGAAGCTTTTGCCGAGGAGAAGATATGTGAAGTAATAAATCGCAGAGTCCAGAATCCAGGCCCATGATCTCTAATAGCCCGGCCCAATACCAAAACAAACAAAAAAGTAAAGCAGCAAAGGATGCTTACATCTCGTCCGATTGTATAACCTATGCTCTATGATTCACTAGAAACTCGACAAAAGTATTCACATACTGATCCTGCAATGTCTTGTTCCCGAACACTCTCTTCTGCTGGGACGCTGCATTTTCTCGATATATCTTTCCATCCTCCTCTGTCACCACCTTCCTAATCGTCTCCGCCACTGATCCAATCGTAAATGACCCGTCTTTCTCATCCCTTGGAATCTCCACACCCACATTCATCCCCGCTAGAAACCTCGCCACCAGTGGCTGGTCCAGGTTACATGGAAACATGATCAGAGGGCGGCCGAAGCTGAGCCCTTCCACGGCCGACCCCCACCCACAATGAGTAACGAACCCACCGATCGAGCCGTGGCTCAGTATCTTAGTCTGAGGCACCCAGCCTGTCCAGACGATTCCTTGCCCGTTCACTCTCTCCTCGAACCCATGGGGAAGTAGTTGACCAGAAGCTTCTGTTCTCTTCCTAAGTGCCCAGAGGAAAGGCAATCCACTTAGCTCTAACCCATGAGCTAAACCTTGGATCTCTTCGGGAGTTACAGTCACTTCAGTTCCCAGAGCCACATAGACAACTGAGTTTCTTTGCTGTTTGTCTAGCCATCCGCTGATATCTTGCCATGTCCTGTCGTCAGGATTGTCGACTGGTCCAGCTGACAGTAAACCTGTCAGAATCACGGGCTTGTCGTGGAGCTTACCGAGCAGTTGGATCCACTCGGGTTCAAGCTCCATGCATGTTCTGATAGCGATGACATCAGAGCCAGTACAAGCCAGACCAGCCCGGTAGTTGTCGTTCAAGTCGGAACCAGTCACACCAGCCGTCGGGTACTCCATGATCTTCCTGGCCTCAAACAGACGGAACAGCACGTGTGTCTCGAACGGCACCCAGGGTGGAGGCACCGTCAGGTCCATGGCAGTCTTGCGAGGGTCACGTCCGTCAATCATATCCGACGACGGCCCTCCTATTATGCAGATAGTGGCCGCATTGAACGTGGAGAAGAAAGCTCGAGAGACACCGAGCTTCTCGGCGATGGGGGGCACCCAGTGTTGGACGAAATCAAAGATGACCCAGTCCGGTCTAGAAGCTTCTAGAAACTCCGAGAAAGCTTCGGACATCCCGTCAAAGGCCTTCTTGAGGAAACCGACATGGGTCTCCGGCAAGTCGGTGGTGGCCTCTGCGTTTTCCGGCAGGTGATCGACGGGAGGTAATGGTAAAGCCACGAATGTAACGGGAGTGGAGGATAGAGATGGAATCTGGGAAAGACGGCAAATGTTGCGAGGCGTGGAGATGAAGGAGACGGTATGGCCTTTCATGGCGATTCGGTTGGAGAGCTCTAGGAAAGGAATCATATGTCCGAAAGCCAGCCATGGGAACACCACTACGTGAAGCTTCTTAGAGTTTGGTTCGGACATGTTGAACTGAACTGAATCAACAGTTAAAGATGGATGATTCTACATGGATTTGATCTCTGATATGCGGTGGGGGTGGCCAATTCGGGTTTCGGTTCGGGTTCGGTTTGGTTATATTCGGTTTCGGTTATTTCGGTTATAGAAAAACTATAACCATTCGGTTTTTATATAAATTTCGGTTCGATTCGGTTCGGTTATTTTTCGGTTCGGGTTCGGTTCGGTTTTGGTAAAAAGTTCAATTTTTCAAAGAAAATTGTCGGTTATTCTCTCGGTTTTTTCGGTTATTTTTTATTCGGTTCGGTTTCGGTTTCGGTTTTCGGGTTTAAGGAAATCATAACCGTTCGGTTTTGATGTCGGGTTCGGTTTGGGTACGGTTATGTCTTATTCGGTTCGGTTCGGTTCGGTTATTCGGTTAATAACCGAAATGACCACCCCTATATAGCGGCTGAAACGGTGCGACATGGAAGTACTGTAACAGCAAAATACATAATGTTAATTGCTTGAATGTTTTGAGAACAAATGTCGGATGAAGATTGTGACACCTGTATATTGATGACTAATGATTATTCTTTTCTACGAGGAGATAAGATTTAATGTGACGAAAGCCCATTTACTGTCAAACAAATTATATACCAGGAAGGCCCAACATTTTTTGTAGACTAGACTCGCTGTGTCCTGTTCGATACTAGGAAGGCCCATCATTTCTCAAAATGCATAAAAATGAATAATCACATTATTCATTTTTTATTGATAAAATACTATTTTTCAAAAAATTATCGATTTTGTCGATTCTTTATTTATTCAGTTTTTTAGGATTTAAAGAAATCATAATCATTCAATTCGAATCGATTTAGCTCGATTATTTGGTGAATAATTAAAATAATCATCTTATATACCGGTAATGAGATATATATATAACTATGTTAAAAATATTATGAAACAAACTATATATATCGGTTTAAATATCTCAATAATCTTAAAAACGAATTTCAGGGCAAGTTCATTATACGTTGTTGGATTTGTTTCAATCCCTGATTTTATTCTCAATCGTTATTCATTAGCATATAAAACTCTGTATTTTTTCGAAGTGGTCCATTAAAGATCTATATATGAGAAGTTCTTTCCTCGCATAGTGAAATTAGACCAACTTATAAGTGTTTTCATTTTTTTAAAACAAAAAGATTCTATTTGATTTACAGTGAAATATCATATTTAATATTTTTATGATATTATATTAAAACATTAAAAATTGGGGTAACAAGATAAATTTTTGTTAACTCGGATTTACGGTACTCAAGTTTTGGTGGCCAGACCGTAAAAGATCCTACGAAACATGCTTTTATCCAGATTCGAATCCATGCATAGGAAAAAAAATGTTTAGATAAAGAAAAATTTATCTCCGACAACGGTTGATTCCGAACCTAAATGATTAGTTTGGTCGAAAGTTCAAAAAAAAAACTTTGGGTTTAAGATGATATTAGTTTAACTCATTATTCGGAATTGTTGAAAACTCATGTACTCGACGGCTCACATGGGCCAGGTTACATATTTATTTGCCACACGGGAACACGAACAGTTTGTGGTTTAGAAAGGCGAAGGGAGAAATCCTTGTCGTTTCAGGGTTTGGTGGACTGCAAGGTGTTGGCGACGTCAATGACGAAACGATATCGGACATCACCCTTGGCAAGTCTGTCGAAAGCAGTCATGATGTAGTCCATAGGGATCATCTCGATCTCTGGGACAATGTCATGTTTTGCTGCAAAATCCAGCATTTCCTGCGTCTCTTTCAGCCCTCCTATCAATGTTCCCGTAATCGTTTTCCTTCCTGCCATCATCAATCAATTATCTCTTAATTAATTTCTATAAAATAATTAATTTATTTTGATAAAAGTCAAGTGTATTTCATAATATGATATTCAGAAAACGATATGTAATGCGTGGAAAATGCGTGAGCGTGACCAGAGGAGATGAAAATGACACGTGATTGAGTACCCATGACAAGTGGGAAGACCGGCAACTCGAGGGGCTTCCCGGGTATTCCAACCATTACGAGGGTGCCACGTGTCTTCAGCAGACCAATCAGCGGCAGCAGAGGATGAGACGCTCCCACCGTGTCAATTATCACATCCATTGTATTCATCGCACCCTACCATTGAATCCGTCCAATACCCAATTTTATTACAACCTCTTTTGACCATTCCAACATTATTGTATGAAATTAATTAAAGTTTTTTTTTATTCACCTCCATAGCTTCTCGATCGTTGCTAAGAAGGAAGGAATCAGCTCCGAATTTATCCAAAGCGTCGCCTTTCTTCCCTTCATCGATATCGATCACGGTAACTTTGACACCGAAAGCCTTTGCGAATTTCACTCCGACGTGACCCAACCCGCCGAGTCCGACGATGCCGACGTGCTTGTCCGGCCCGACCAGACCCAACTGCTTCATCGGACTATACATGGTGATCCCGGCGCACAACAAAGGCGCGCCGGCGAAGAGCGGCATGTTGTCGGGGAACCGGATGACGTACCGCTCGTTCACAACGATGTGGTCGGAATACCCTCCGTACGTGACGGTTCCATCCCGGTCGATGCCCCCGTAGGTCAACACCATTTTCGGACAGTAGTTCTCGAGGCCTTCCGAACAATCTTGGCACGCGTGGCACGCACCCACGAGGCACCCGACTCCGACGCGATCACCTGGTCTGAATTTCGTGACCCGGCTCCCCACTTCGGCGACTTCTCCCGATATTTCGTGGCTGCGGTTCCAAAGAACACGGTCCAAAATACATGAAGGCATATACGTACGGAGAGTGATAGAGAAGACGATATGAAACATACCCAGGAACGACAGGATAGACGAAGAGACCCCAATCATTGGTAATGCCGTGAAGATCGGTGTGGCAAACTCCACAGTATATTATCCTTATCCTCACGTCTTCTTCCCCTGTTTCCCTGTAAATTTCATTTTATTTTTTCTTCGTTTCTTGTTTCTTGGAAAAATTTGTAAATAAACCGAAGGAGAATAGAGAATTATTATTATAAAAACATACCTTCTGGAAAAAGGGAAAGGGGAGAGATGGGAAGAGGAGTCGGCGGCTGCCCAACCAAAGGCCTTCACTGGGTGCTCCCTTTCTTCTCTCGTCTCCATTTTTTTTTGGGGGGTGAGGGACAAAGGATACCGGCAGAAATCTTGCCCCCTTTTTAAATTTTGTGATGATTCAAAGAGAAAGAGGGTAGTCAGCATGACACGTGTCAGTATCGAGAATATGTTTTCTTGGAGATAATTAGGGGTGTAAAAGAGGCGGGCCGGATCGGGTTCAATTCGGGCCTAGAATTTTTCGGATCGGGCCGGGCCGACCCGTCCATTTATTTTTCGGGTCTAGGATCGATGATCCGGAACCCGGTCCTATAGGGCTTCGGGTGGGTTCGGACCGGGTTTCGGGTTATTTTTATCAAATAAAAATATTTTTTCTACGATAATAATAATAATGTAAAATATTAAAAAAACAAACATAGTATAAAAAAGATAATTATATGATGTAATTAATTTGAAACATATAGAAAAAGAATCAATATATTCATATATTCATATGTAAATAAAGGTTTAAAAATATATATATTTAAAATTTTCTACGTTTTTCAAAAATATAAATTGATATATATATATATATATGATGTAATATGATTAAAAAAATAAAAGTTTTCATCACTTTAAAAAGTGTTAATTGGATCTAAAATAAAGTTTCGTCATTTGGTTAAAAGATACACATATATAAATATAGAACATGTGTTTGTTTATGTGCATCGAAGAACAAAATCTAAACTACTAGTAGGAAACAAAACCAATATAGAGTGAAAAAATATAAAACAAAAAAATTTAATCAAATAGTAAATAGCAAGTGTTAGGCTTGATTTAATAAAAAAAATATAAAAAATGATTATCAAATGATGTAATATGGTTAAAAAGAAGTTAAGATAATCATATAGAGGTAAAACTTTGGCTTAGAAAAAAGGGTTAGAAAAAAATTAATGGGCCTCAAGCCCGGTCCGAGACCTGACCGGCCCGGCCCGACTGGCCCGCAGTCCATTTAGCCCGAGGTCCGAAAGCCCGAAATTTAATGAGCCTATATTTTTTAGGTCCATATCCTTATTATTTTCGGACGGGTTCAGATCGGGTTTCGGACTCTGGGCTTAATTGACATCCCTAGAGATAACGGATTTGCTTCCGGCCTTTCGGCTGCTTTATGGTGATAGATTAGGGATAACCCATGTAACTAACATTTGTCCAAAAAAAAAATAAATTATAATAGCGTCACATATTAAAAAAATTATTAATTTTTGGTAAATTCAAAATTAACATATTCTCGATATATAATATTCTAAATTAATTTATTTGCATTTTTACATAATTATTGGATTAAAATCGTTATTATTTATTTAATAGGATAAATAATACTTTTTTACCGTTGGTAATCACAAATAAAAGTTTTATTAAAATTATGAAATTTGATGATATCGAATTTTAAATATTAAAAATTAAGAATTCCCAAAATAAAATTATTAGATTTGTTATGTCCATTTAATTATTCGTAATTATCTTTTTAATATTTTATACATATTAGCTTTGTCATTGATTTAATTCTTTTTTTTTTTCAAATAAGACTCGAAAATAATTTTAGTTAACTCATGTATTTATATGATTTATTTTTGTGCTTTTGTATTATTTTAGAATACGATTATTTATATAAAATTTTTAATTTAATTTGAATATACAAATTTTACATATTATACATATATTTTTTTATAATTTTGATGGAATAAATATAATATATTTTAAACAGTATTCCACAATAATATCCGAAGGTGTTACTAATTTGCTCATTTTAAAAAAAAAAAAACTGAATCGCACAAATAGTTTTTTGTTTGACTAAAACACGATGAAAAGGCTCAGCTTATATAAAAATGTAGAACATGACACATTTTTTGAAATGGGCCCACCCATCATAATCACATATGTGATCCATTCATCAAATTGATTATGAAATCCAACTAACCAACCAACCAACCAACTGGATATACTAAGTGACAACTTCTAATGTCCCTGTCCTCTCGTAGTGATAAACATCCATATGCAATGGAATATTGGGAAACAATCTAAGGACGGATTCACATTGATCTGCGAAAATAAAAATATTAAGGAGACGCTAGAAGGAGGGTTTGAACCTCCGACCTTGTGGTTAACAGCCACACGCTCTAACCAACTGAGCTATTCCAGCTTTCGGAATTTGAATTATTTAATTTAATATATCTCATAATTTAGACAAAATGTAAAAAAATATTGAAGAGAATAGTGTTATTCATTTTCTTACCCCAACGGATATGGTGATTTAATTAAAATGAGATATTCCTGCTAGTGTTGATGAAGTTTATAATAATAATTCAGAGCGGCGGCCCACATGAAGTGACGTCTAAACGGGTTATAAAGGGCCCAGGATACACGTGCGAGATCTGGTCAAAGTCAACCATCGGAGATAAATGAGTCCATAATAGAGAATGTTAAATGGGCTTGTTTGGGCCGGCATAAATACATCTTTAGCATAGTTTTTTAATTACTTACCGCAGTTGAAAAGGGTAAAAGTAAAAAAAAACTACCACTTGGATACTAAGAAACAACTTTGGAAAGGTGCAAATGCTCTTTAAAAAAAACTAAATATAGTTAATTTGGCTGGGAAATTTGTTAGATGAACAGTTAAATGCATATTTTATTTCCCAGAATTATTTAATATGAAAATCAATTCAATAATAATTTTCATAATAAATATTCCAAGTTGAGGAGTGAGTAGGCAAATACGAACAAAGGCTTTGCCAAATGCCCCATGTGCTCTTATCTCTTTGCTGCTTATCATCCGTACGTTTTACATTATACTCCACTTTTCATTTCTTTTTCATATTCCTACATACTTTAATGAATAAAATATAAAAATAAAACAAGTGGAGAAAGTACAACTCCAACTCCAACTATACCATCGAATATATAAAAATCCTAATACATTTTTTTTTTGCTAAAAAAAATCCTAATACATTGGACAACTCAGATTTATTTATTTTTTGGTATAAGACAACTCAGATTTTAGTTTACTGTAAAAATGGAATTAGTTTTAGTGTAGATATCTTTATTGAAATCCAGTAAGAAACGAAAAAAATATTGCCACCAATAAATATCAATGATTTAGGCTTCAAAATATGCCAAAAAATTAAAAAATTATTAATTTCCAAAAAAAAATCGCATACCGAAGTTGATTATGCAGAAACGGAAACATGGAAATAGTTTGATAATATAATCCACTTCACTTATTGTGGAAACGTAAATTCAAATAAAAAGAAAAAACTGAATTAATTCTAACAAAAAAGTCTTAGGTTTGTATTCATGTAATTGAATTTGGCAAATATAATTTAGCTGTGTGATTTTTTTTTTGTACAAAATATAAACAGCAAACGTAGGTCATGAAGTTGATAGTTTGAGTTGGACTGACGCGTTGGGAACACTACCGGCCTTGTTGGTGACATCGAATTTCGATTAGAAAATTTGGTACCAAAATTAAAAGTTTTGAATTTAGAGGGCCCCAATTCAAAATTTGTATTTATTCTCACTGTTATAACTTTTCGTTCTCCCACCCACCTTACCTTAATGATATTTAGGCAGAGTACAAAATTGTCACTCAATATATACAAAAAAAAAACATCCAAAGAAATTTCAAATGGAGACCCCAATTTCTTAACCATTATAATTAATCGAAATTAATTAGTAGTTAATATGGGCATTGTCACACAAAATTGAAACTTGATTCGATTCATAGGCTTACCAATAAGATTCGGAAAATTTTAAAACGGCGAAATAATTCAATTTTCAAATACCTATTTTTGGTACAACTTCTAGAAAACTTAGATGTCCACTGTTATATATAGCTATTTATTTTTTTTAAGTAAGGTCCAATGCTTAAGCATTATCCATGGCTATATTAGATTTTCCTTTAAAAATATTGAAATGTTCCTGTACGGCGTGTACTGTAATTTCCGAGAAAGTAATTCGCACAAAACAGTACAAAAAATATTTCATATTAAAATATTTGGACCGTAACCGTATGTAAAGCGGGGCAAAATGGGAAATTTCATTTTTTTTTCGCTGCTTAAGATTTAATACAAGGGAACCAGGAAACGCGGCGGCTTAACCGGAGGCGGCGGTGGCGGCGGATTCTGAACATTGACGGTGAGATTCTCCGGCCGCGGCGGCTCGCATGGACACGGCAACGCTATGAACTTCGGTGTATCATCTCCTGGCATCAACACCGGTAGGCTCAGCTGGTTCTTCTTCGGATCCTGGTCACATCGTTAACCACTATTAATTAATTTAATTCTTCAACAAACCAGTTAATAATTCCTCAGTTTCCCAAACTGAAGTATCATTAAAGAGACGTGTGTGGTAAAACCGTAAATAATTCAAAATAGAGATTATGAATTTGAAATCGACGATTCTGTTGAGAGCATTGCAGAGAGAGAGAGAGAGAGAGAGAGAGAGAGAGTTACCGAGAAGAGAGGTCTAGGCTTCGACGGCGAGGACTCGATGTCGGCGGCGGCGGCGGACAAGGAGCGGCGGAGAGATCGGTGCTTATCCCAGTGATAACAGCAAGAGAAGATCCCGGAGAGGCTGAAGATGATGAGGAGGAGGAGAGCTGTGCCGAGCGGGAACCCCAGCGACGGCCGAGATGCGTCCACGTGCGGCGGAGAGAAATTCTGTGCGCTCTCCATGTCCGGCGACGGTTGAATCAACGGCTGAAATTATCGACGTTGCTGTTGTGGGAGGATCGACGCCTGAGATTAAGGGACGATCGTCTGCTCTCATGTGTTTGAGAGAGAGAGGGAGAGAGAGAAGGGGGGGGTGTATGCTGAGGAAGACAAGAAGGGCGGGGAAGGAAGATGGACCGGGAGTGTTTTTATTTATAAATGAAAAATCTGGATTTATTTTCATTTGTATTTAAAAAAATATACAACTGTAAGAACAAATATGTGCAGAAAGTTTTCGTCTCTTTTGCTTTTTGATTTTTTTTTCCGAATATATTTGTAATGATTGCTTGTCTTGAAATTATCCGGGATAATATCACGACGTCTGCACAATTCTTTTGTATATATTTATTCTAACAATTATGTATTTTATAATTATATGATAAAAAAATATCCAGTAAAGAGAATGGAGAGAAGGAAAATATATCAAGAAATAAAATCCAAACTAAGAAACACACTAAAGATTGAATGTAATTCGTATATATAGTGAATTTGGGGAACAAAATAAAAGGTAAGAGCAGAGAGTTGGAAAAGAAAGAGTACAAAGAAAGGGGTTGTCCTGTTGTCCGGGCCGCCGTACGGAGAGCACGTTGGCCCACCTCGTTTGCCTTATAATATTTCAAATCCCCTATCTAATCTTCTTTTGGCCTCTAATTACATTCTTAATCTCCCAAATATTCTATTGAAACCCTTATGTGATATTATATTACATTACAGAAATCTTTATGATTTCGTTTTGAAATCTTGATTTGCCTTTTCCTTGTAAAATTTAGCTTGTATACTAAATAAAATAGGCAAAACACGCACATACCTACCTGCACACGTGTAGTTTTCCTGGTAAGATTTATAAACACTTATTAATACGAAATTTCCTTGGTGTGTTGAATGATATATATATATATATAGTTTTCATTAATATGATGGGTGGTATAGGTGCGTACGAGTGTAAACACACATGTAGGATTTGGACCGACGGGACCATAATGTAGAGGGGGTTGAGGGACACATCTAGATGTACTGTGACGTGCGAGCTTGGTCTCTCTGAGGTTTGGTTGGATTTGGTTCCACACCACCACCAATTCCAATTTGTCATTAAGTTTGGATATACATACACAGTATATATATATATATCTCTTTTGTTTGGTTTGATTCATTCCGTCTATAATATAATTAGGAGTTAGGGGTTGACATTTCAACATGGTTATTCAGAATCGAACTATATCGAACCGAAAAATATGATACTGTTTTCGAATCAAATCGTCCAAAATTTTAGAATGGTATTTTATTTAAACTAAATTTTATAGAAGTTAAACGAACCGAACTGAATTTAAAAAAACTAAAAAAATCTAAAAATTTCTTTATAAAAATTGAAATCGAATAGAATCGAATATAAAATAATAACCGATTGATACATGTTTTTGTGGAACTGAAAGAACCAAAACGAACCTAAACTGAAGCGAAACTTTCACCTCTAATTATAACCATGAATATCCCAATTTTAAATGTTTACATGAATAATTTTCGTAATGAACTTGTGGGAGCTCGAAAATGTACTTCATTAAAAAAACATAAATATTCCTAAGCAGATTGACGTGCGACATGTTTTTATTATTTGTTTGTCGATTGGATATCACGAAGATTATCCCATGCATGGATGGACCCAACACATTATATATATATTAATCCCGAGAAGATTAATAGATTTTTCATGCAGAAATTCACCCAATTACATACACCTAAGACTTGCAGTATATAATTACGCATTTTCAATTAATGGGTAACAAAACTAAAATTGATATAAGACGAGCGTTATCAATTATAATCGGTGAACATGGTCATAGATCATTTGATGATTTGGGGATTGGAAAATTTCCGTGGGCCGAAAAATACGAAAAGAGAGTTATAGATCGAGTAATCACAAATGGGCAATTAATTTTAAATTAACATGTTAAAATCAATAATTTACATCCCGTGCCATCGGCGTCATAACCGCGATAAAACTGAAATTACCAAATTGTACTTCAACGGGGTGTGGGGCCTCTTGGCCTTTAGAGATCCCCAAAGGACACTTTTAAAAATATCAATAGAAGACCATGATACTATTTATTGCAATATGATATTTTAGGGGTGGCGATACTTTTTCAGAACCAAAAAATGCGCTGTTTTTTTATTTGAACCGTTCAAAAATTTTTGAACGACAATACTGAATTTTCTAGAAGCATAACGAACTGAACTGAATTTAAAAACAAATCCAAAAATCGAAAACTTAATAGATGATAAAAATAAAAATCCGAACCAAATATAATATAATAACCAATTCGTACATGTTTTTTATAAAATCGAAAGAATCAAACCGAATACCGAAACACTCATCCACATCCTATTTAAGCATTCGATGTATCTTTAAGTAGCATTATCCAATAATATCTAGACATTTTTATGACAAATAATAATAGTAATCAAATTAACTTAAATCACATGTCGTTTTCAAAAATTCGTATTCTTCTAAAATAAAAAATAATATAACGAAAAATTTTGAAGTGAAAAAACTTGAGTAGTTGCCGTGTGGAACTCGAAATTGTCGTGATTTATACTAGAATGTCGGCAAAAAACCATTTATGTAACAGTACATTTTGATCATATTTTGACCTCACACGTTCACATTCGTCGTCGCTTTATATATGTAATATAACTGAAAATGATGAATATAGATGCGCCAAGCAAATTGTGCTCTTCCAAACCTTTTTTGGATTGTATAACATAATAATTTGAGTTGTATACTATTTTAAGTGTATTATTAATGTAAAACAATTATAAAAAAGTTATAATTATTAATATTATTTGTTACGAAACGGTGAGCATGCCGTTTATGAGCTCGGCCCAATAATTAAGTTCATATTCTAAGTGGGCTTTGACAATGAGAATGCCGTTAAAAGAAAAGCCCGATAAGAATAGGCCGTCAGGCATCAGCTGACATTTAGTAATTTGTTTGTCTTTATTATTTATTAGTGTTACTCATAAATTCATAATCATCCAATTAATTAATCACGGTTCGCTTCCTTTAATCGCAGATCAATAAAATAAGCGTGAGGGACAAAATGGCGCTGTGGGTCCCTTTTTCTCATTTAATTATTATTATTATTATTATTATTATTATTTATGCATAATTAAGCTCCCGTATTTGTTTTAAATTTTGGGTTATATATGGATTAACATTTACCGATTTCAAAAAATTAATTTCTCAGATGAACTGTAATTTTGTTTCGGAGAGTATCTTTCAGCAGAGACGGCAATAAAGATTACCGTAAACAGTACGGAACATTAATGACTAAAAACAGCGCTGGAGCGAAGTCATGATGGGACGGACGGACGGACGGACAGATATTGTCTACAGGATAATCCAACGGTCAGGATTTTTGTCTCTCGTGTGTGTTGAAATCGAACCCATTTCACCGTCCATCATAATTATGCCCCCCACCACCTCCACCCATTTCCTAAGCCCTCACTCGTGTCTTTTGTTTTCATATAATGTTCCTTGTTATCCTATAATCTAAATTATATTATATAGTTCATATACTCTATGGGTAATTAGAACATCTAATCCCATCAAACTAATGCTGTTAGTATGAATGAACCCCTTTACATTCAAACTCAGCATCGGTTGACTACCGGTTCAAGAATTCAATCAATGGAAATCGGCACAATGCCGAACCGGCAATATCAATATAGGATCAGATAGAGTGGGCCTATATTAAAAAAAAAGGTAAAAAAAGGAATTTTATTAATTACTAGTATATTAATTAGCGAGAGAATTAATTAAGGGGGAAATGCGAAGATAAATAGATAAATTAAAAAAGGAGGAGAGAGTGGAGGAGGTTAGATGTCGCAGTCACCACCCGACAAACCGACTTGGGATGCCGCTTTCATGTCCCCCTTCCTTTTCCATTCCCATATTCCTTTTTTTATTCATTTCCACTTTTACCCCTCCCATTTCTCTTCTCGAGTTGTATAGCAAAAACACAACGTGAGATAATAGAATATTTATTTATTTATTTTGGGGGTTACGAGCTATTAAAAATTTTCATAAAACATTCACATACCACTAAGAAAAGTTCGAATAATTAGTAAGACAAATTTAAAAATGTATAATGAAAAGGATTCCTTTTCACCAGTCACGAAAACGAGGGCAAAACAGAGATTTCATTATTTACAAGACAACCATCCCCTTTCCCGTGGAGCCAGAAAGTGGAACCAAGATCAACGATCCAGATTCATCTCAAGAGATCGGACGATTCAGATTTGTCATAACAACTTACCTGAGCCGTCAGATCAGATTCCTTCCCCAATGAAAAAAAGGAAGCCATACAAAACGCACAACTTTCTCCAATTTTTTTTCTTTTAATTTAATTTTTGTTATTTTTCCCCGGCGACGAGTTTCAGGGGGTGAAATTAGCTTTTGTGATGCTTTCCGCTTTAATGGAAGGACCTTGATCTCTCTCTCTACAGTTCGTGGTAGCTCATAACCATCTTTCTCCTGTAAACTCGAGCTTCAATCGATCTTCTTCTTCAGCTCCGTCTGATCCGGAATTGTTCTCTCTTTAGGTATCGTCGTTTTCTCTCGTCTTAGAAACAATTTATGATGTTCGAGCTTCATTTTCGGTGACTGCATGTGAATATTTGACAGTAGCTCGGAGATCTGTGATTTTTTAGTTTGTTTTGTCCTTACGTTCATTATGTTGGTGATTTTCCTGGCGAAGTGCTGCTTCTGGGCGATGTGATTTGATTTTCGTGGAAGGCCTGTGTGGTCGTCCCGTAGTTTCTGTAGAAGGAATGGCGGAAAGTGAAATCTGGGATCAGTGCGGGGAACAGAAGGACTGGTTCTGCTCTTAAGCTGACCTGAGTTGACTTCCCTTTTTATGCCCCTTTCCGTTGATGAACATGCTCTTTCCAATTCTTGGTTCTCGTTACCTCAATGTCCGAATTTCTGGATTTTATTTGGAGTTTTGAATCTTTGGAAGAAAACCTGTTCGTTTGGTCGGGAAGTGTCTTGTTCTAGTACCTCTGATGTATTTAAGGTTGGTTTGGTTTGAGTTTCTTTTATGAACGTGGAATTGGGAGCTTGTTGATTCTTTGAGATTCTGTTTAATGTTTCTGGTATTGCCAATGATGTTTGGTAAGATAAATTGTTGAGTCGGCCTGAGCAATATACTCGAGTTAGTGTTATGTAGATTTCAATCAATATAGTCATCAAGTGGATTCTAAGGAGGACACCTTTTCCAGGAAAATATACAGAATGTCTCCCCCCGTAGCGGATGTGGAGGAGGAGCTGCAGAGCAATGTCTCTGTGGCAAGTTCATCACCTACTAGCGAATGCCTGTCAAGGAACACCTCAGGTCCAAAGGAACATAACTATTTGGGTCTGTCTGAATGCTCTTCTGTCGGCAGCTCAAATCTCCCTGGCCTTGCGGAAGATGACAAGAACAGCATCAGTTTGAAAGCTACTGAATTGAGACTTGGTCTCCCGGGATCACAATCCCCCGAGAGAGAGACAGATTTCAACACGCTTACCTCGGGGAAGCTTGATGAGAAGCCCCTATTTCCTTTGGCTCCTTCAAAGGATGGAATATGCTCTCAATCACAGAAAAACTCCGGTACAGGAAACAAAAGAGGCTTCTCTGACACAATGGATCAGTTTGCTGAAGTAAAAAGTTCTGAATTTACTGAAAAAAGCTGGATGTTTCATGGAACTGGAACCACTCAACCTGTAACTAGGAAGGAGGCGCCTCAAAGCATGCCAAAAGAGCATTTGAGCACTGCAAACAATAGCTCTAGTCCACCTGCAGCCAAGTATGTTATAAGCATAGGGATAGGATCATCATGCATTTAATATAAGTTAAGTCTTGATCAGCTAATGAGTAGTTTATGAATTTCATATTTTCAGGGCACAAATTGTCGGTTGGCCTCCTGTTAGATCCTACAGGAAGAACACATTGGCTACCACTTCCAAGAATAACGATGAAGGTGATGGGAAGCCTGGTGCTGGTGCCCTCTTTGTGAAGGTCAGCATGGATGGTGCTCCTTATCTGAGAAAGGTAGATCTGAGAAGTTGCGCCAGCTATCGGGAGCTTTCTTCTGCTCTTGAAAAGATGTTCACCACTTTTACTCTCGGTAAGATGTTTCTGTAGTTGCACGATTTGATTATTCTATTGCAGACTTTTCCTTAAGAATATCTTCTTGGTCATATCTCATTGTTAAGGGCATTGCTCTGAGTATAGATGTGATCCAATTGCTGTGGTTTCTGTGAGGTCAGGTCAATGTGGATCCCATGGAGCTCCAGTGAAGGATATACTTAGAGAGACAAAGCTCAAGGATCTTCTGAATGGAAAGGATTATGTGCTTACATATGAGGATAAGGATGGTGACTGGATGCTTGTTGGAGATGTTCCTTGGGAGTAAGCTTCTACCACATGAATGTTCTTTCCTTTTTTCAATCTTTTAACAATTCGATGTTACAGCTTAGTTTACCTCTCCAAATATAGTATGTTCAATGAGATTTCTCAAAATCAAATCTGACATAAACACGGGAAAACAAATTAATCTTGTCTTCAACTAACCGGAATAGTGATGCATATTCTGCGGTGACTTCCTTGGGGAGCGTTTCCTCTCTCTAGAAATCATTTTGAACCACTTGTCATGGGGCCTTTGTTATTTTTCTTTCCTCGTAGAAATCCCTAGTTCAGTTGATAGATTGTTTCTTTCATGCCCGATGTCAAGGATATCCTGGTAATCATTTCAACTAGCTATCTGGATACTAACTTAGGTTCGAACTGTGGATGATAACTATTTTTGTGCTCTATTTTGGGTTATCTTGTTCTCTGTTCTTTTCCATTCCTGGGAATATCGCATTTATATTCCTTAATTTAGTCCATGTCCAAATCTTCTGTAGGATGTTCATTGATGTATGCAAGAGGCTGAAGATCATGAAGAGCTCAGATGCCATTGGATTAGGTATGCAACTTCTTTTTTAACATTTTAACATATGCACAACTCTAATAGTTTTATTCCCCCGAAATTATAAGGTCCATAGAAGCATGATACAGTGAGATGTTTTCTAGATGAGAAATGATGTTTGGGTAGAGGATCCGTAAACTTCAAGAATTAACCCCTTTTGACTGCTAGAGAATCATAACTACGGAATTACGACTAAGTTAGGCCAGTTGCAATATTAGATGTTTGGTTTCTTGTTGCGCCATTACATTTATAGTCTGGCGAAAGACTAACCGAGTAAATCCGATCTTCGGTTCTGAGTTTCCCCATTAACTCCAAAGCCTTCAACGGCATCGGTTGTGCTTTGCAAGTGTGAACATAGGACTTAGACTACATGTGTTAGCTTGATCTGACACTATTGCACTATTCAAACATGTAGTTGATAATTTTACTTAGACTACATACACGAGTTTCTTAAAGGGGTTGGCTTTGTGATCCAAAACCAAACCATAGATAGGGACTCTGACTGGTTTGCCATTTTGTTTTCCTGTAGCTGCTGCTCCGAGAGCAATGGAGAAATCCAAGATTAGGGCTTAAAACCCTAATGTGCTTTGGAGAAGGCTCTAATTATACAAGCCATCAATGGTTTTTTTTTAAGGTTTTCACATCTATATATAATTATATATATGCGCCCGTTTTGAAAGAAACTAAGAAAAGCTTTGTTCTAATGTTTTATGATATGAAAAAGGGTTTAACGTTATGTCACGGTCATTTGTTGTGAGTCGGTTTTTCTATTTAATTTGGTTTTTGTGTGGTGGTGTAACCAGAGAAAGTAAAAAAAAAATTACTGGGTATGTTATTTTGGCTCATTCGTGCGATTCCGTACATGCGATTGCGATGCAGCATGAAGGCGTAAAAAAAAATGAATAATGGCAGTAGCTGGATTTGGATGATGAAGCCATTTATTTGGCCCTGTAACTTATGCTCCACATTTTTTTACCGCAGAGAGTACAAAAAAGGTGGCTTATCTGAATCTTTGTGATCCAGGAGATTCCCGTACGGGAGGGCTTTAGGGCATAAATTTCCATGCTTGGTTCACGATCTCTTCCTCTACGAATGGCCGTAAAGACCACATCAGAGTGTAACCCTCTAATTCACCCGACGACGACTTGAATCCAAGAGATTTCACAATCTTTTCCTGCCACTCGTAATTCTTTCGATTCAGTAACATTTAAGACTTGGTTTCTAGAAATACAACACAGTTTTCTCCCCAACAGAGATTCTTGAATCAAGGGTGCAAAAATCCCATACCTGCATCACGTAGTTTTGCTTCACCATACTGTAAATTATTGCAATCACGACGCCATATTCTCTGATCTCCGATTCTTGAGGATAAGGTCCAGTCAGTTCTTCCTGATCATTCAAGACTAAGGAGATTAAGCTCTGAAAATAGTTAATTTTACTCTTACTATGACAGAAAAACAATTGAGATCCCCAGTTGTTGACTCTAAATAAGGAATCCATGTTCATCTCAGCGGTTGCAATCTAAAGAATGTTACTTGAAAACTTATTTTGTTGACGTCTGACCTCATCATTGGTTACTTGATGTAACGGATCGCACGATTCGTTACAAAGATGTGTGGAAAATTTAGTGGCAGTCTCTATTGCAAGGGATGCATCCTCGACGAGACACTCGAGCTCAGTTAATAGGCTTTTGGCTGCAACAAACATATCTTTAAGATTAAACACTACTTCTACTACAAAGTAAAAATTTTGATAAAATCGAAGCAAGGGAGGAAGTGAGCATGGATCCGAGAAACAAAGTAACAGAGAGATATCGGATTAGTTTGTGGAGAGATAACAGAGGAACAAAGTAACAGAGAGATAGTTCTAAGGTACATCCAAATGGTATCAGACAGGTAGAATAATTTTGAATAATGAAAAAACGAGAGGAAAGATACATTACCTTTGATTAGATGGTCATGAAGTCCCAACATGCATGTATGCACTTCTTAAATCCCAATACCATTATTCCACAATGGTTGATGGATCATAAATGGAAGACCAAGTTGTGAAGGAACACAAAGGAGAGAGAAAATGTGTAAGTGCAAGCTAGAATACATCATCATCTCCTTAATCCTAAATTTATTTGGGATCAGACAGCATAAATTCTTTGTTTTCACTCATTTCGATTTTGAAGTGCATATTAGAATGTTCAAGAAAATTTCACGACATAATTCAACACTATACTTCGACACAAAGTATGAGAAACGATCATGTAACTTCACCAAGGATGGCAAACAAAACTGGTGGAGGGCTTATCGAATTTTAGGACCTACATGTTTTTGTGCTTTGTGAAGCATCATGGGTATTGATACAACCTGCTTTGATATATGATTTCAGCCTTCTTGTTTCATTGTTCTTCAAAATATTCTCCATCAACTTGGATGAATTATCAATAGGAGGGCGTTGGAGCAAGCCTGAGAAAGGAGATAGAAATAAGCAAGAAAAAAAAGGGCCAAAAACGGCGCAAAAGGATCACATTACAGATGAAGGTTGTACAAAGAAACGCACGTAGTGCTTGTTGAAACCCTAGAAGAAATCGTTTTCCACCATTCTCTAGTTCCTCAAGCTTTGTGATCCTTTTGTCACATAACCATCATTAAGGGTTTTCAGAGTTAAACGAGAAGAGTGGCATCCAAATATCTGAATGGAAATCTAACAAAGTTACCTTGTCATGAAATCTTTGAAAATCTCGAAAATCTTCTCCTTCAGTTCCGTTGTTGCTTCCATGTCTTTATCACTCCGCCTAAAAAGGACAAGTAGCAAAGTCTTACGAACTTTAAAACCTGCAGATTAAAAGTCCTAAACCGCATGCTTCGAACACAAACCAAAATCTTCTCTCGAGCATTTCATCGAACACCTTGTATTCAGACGCAGCTTAACCCAATCTAAAGACGCAAAGGAAAGGACTTCTACGGTATATCCGGAAAATCCAAGAAAAGGGTATCAATATTATCAATGATTTTGATCAAATTAATTGGATAGAAGTAATCCGAAGCGATAGAGAACAGTGAAAAACGAGTCTGAAGCCCGAAGAGAACCACAAAAAAAATCGGAGAAGAAAGTTTCCAATAAGATTCCGTGCCTGTTCGTCCCTTGTTCATGCTCTGTCGAAGGCAGCGTCGGCGGATTCCATATCTCTAGAGAATTCGGGGTAGATTGCATGGTTCGAACGCCGGCGGCGAGAAGGACCAAATTGCCGGGAAACGTAAGACAAGCCGGTTATATATATCATTAGCTTCTGTTTTATAAAATTTAAAATTTACCCCATCATTCTTACTATTTTGAACATCCACCCCACAATTTTAATTCAACAATCTCCGTTCTAAGTTCGAGAACAACAGCCCAAAAGTCCATCGCCACCGAGCATCCTCCGCCTGAGAATTCGCAATCTCCCGACCCAATCCGTTGAAATTTCGTAACAAAAATTGTTCTTCTCGTCACCAATGGCGGAAGAAGATCCGCTGTTTTCATCCATCACTCCTTGCGTTACGTCCACTCTTCAAACCCTAAACCGTCACGATCGCGCCATCTTCGGACATGTTTTCGAGTATTGAAGGATTAAAAACGTGCGTAAATGCCGAGTGGCTCCAGCCTCCACTGAATCTCATCTTCCGTTATAATGAGTTTTTACTCCATTTAACCCAAACATAAACCAAACCCTTAGATGCATATGTTGGTCTCTGTATGTATATCATTATAAAAAAATATATATATATGTATTGATGTGTTTGTTGTCAACTTACTCAGTAGTTGCTTGGGCCATTATTATGGCAGAACTAAGGATGGCGACTAGAAGATGAAGCCTGTGGTCCCTCCCTGGTTCTGTTCTGTCCCGTTTTTTTTTATGAAAAAAAATAACAATTTGTGAAATATGTGGAATTGGACCACCCAATTTCAATTTCAAACACCGAACCAAAAAGATTGAAATGTACCTTTTTTTGGGTCACAATCACATCAAAGTAGCTTTTTCCCTGCATGCTTCCGTGTATGTTTTTTTTTAACATGATTCAAAAGAGTCCAAACACCATCTTCCTAAACCCTAAGGTTGTCTCTCCCGAAACGTATACTAACTTGAAATTCAATTTTTTTTTATGAAAAAAAATAACAATTTGTGAAATATGTGGAATTGGACCACCCAATTTCAATTTCAAACACCGAACCAAAAAGATTGAAATGTACCTTTTTTTGGGTCACAATCACATCAAAGTAGCTTTTTCCCTGCATGCTTCCGTGTATGTTTTTTTTTAACATGATTCAAAAGAGTCCAAACACCATCTTCCTAAACCCTAAGGTTGTCTCTCCCGAAACGTATACTAACTTGAAATTCAATTTTATTGTAGTTTTGTCGTTGATTTATTTTTTTTTTTTTTTTTGGGGGGGGGGGTGTTTAGTCATGTGCTCTCGTTTTTTTTTTGTTTTGCTTTTGATTTGGGGTGCTTTTTTAAGCCATTACTCATCAAAATCGTCCATGAAACGTAATTATCTCTTAATTATGCATTGAACATGTTTAATGGAACAAAGCTAATAGATAAGCCATTGGGGGACAAAAAGAGGAACATCGCCCGAGACATTAGTATAATTAACATTAAAAAAAAAAAGAGGGTTAATGGGTATAACGTGTTGTTTCCTTTGTTTATGTTTTTGGGGTTTTGACTTCTCTTAATCCAATGTTTGATTATTTTGGGTTTTCTTTATTGCCTCTAATTTTCACCTAGTTTCAATGCCAAACGACATTAGTGTTAAAAAAAATATAAAAATAAAAAAACAGGGAGAGAAGTAAATTAATAAAATCAACAAACGAATTTCTATATTCCTACAAAATATTCTAGTCCTCACAAAACCAACCTCGTTCATTTATCTTTAGTTTAAACTGATTTGAGCATATATCGTATACAGTATATATATGCATTCATTCGAGGAAATTCCATGTATCCGGGACCAAACAGAAGATGACAACATTTCCAGCAATATGGCCTGCTTCGTATAATAGGAACAATCATTCAAGACAATGTTTGTGTGTGTATATATAGACGTCTACATACGTATGTATATAACGTATATGTGTATATATGACTGCTCAAATCATTGTAGTTGATCAGTGAATCTGGCAAGGGGGAAGAAAACGATGCGAATTAAGATACACCTCGGTAGCTGGACTGAGTTTCACTTCCTCACTCGAAAATTACGGTAATACCCCCACTGGCCACGTGACCTGTCATTCTCGACTTTCGAAATATATCTCTAGACGGCTACATTAATGGTACCACCAGGCGGAGGGTATTTTCCGTCATTCGTAGTTGTGAAAGGGGTGTTTTCGTCATTCACTCAGACATGTGATTACGGTGAACGTCGTTGGAAGTGTGGCATAATTGTAATTTTATTCAAGAGCTTTCTTCTCCTCGTCAGTCAAATCCCTTTGTTGACCGAGAGCGTTTGTGCAGATTTCCCACCCCCAGCAAAATTATTGCTTTTTAATTATTGTTAATCGATTTGTTTTTTTATTATTAATCATTTACCTAATCTCCCCAGGTCTTACATTTTCCATTTTAGATCTTTTTTGAAGTTTGTATTAAATGTCCAATTTTGCTAATTTTTTTAATAAACTATGAGACCAATTTTGTTATTTGGTCTTAACGGGACGAAATAGACATGTGACCCCATATAACTATTTATAATTTGCATTCACTAACAAATCACGTATACTTTGGAATTTATATATGTGTATGTGCGCAGATATACGCTTCTAGAGCCTAATTGAACTATTATTATCATCGTTATATAAGCACAAATGGAAGCAAACAAATTCCAAATAATTCTCAGATTTGTTATGGGTCGCACGGACCGAATGTGATGGCCCAATTACTCTAATCTCTTTTTCTCGGGACCCACGGTCTCTTTAATCATGTATGTGGGTCCCATGTTTCCCTGAAACGATAACATCGGGACCGTTCATCATGATCATGACTCGTAAACAGTGACATTCGATGCTCCTTAATGTACCTGAT